GGGGGGGGGGGGGGGGGGGGGGGGGGGGGGGGGGGGGGCGTCCCCTGCCCCTGCGATGACCAGCAGCCTCAGGACCTGGCCCTGGGGCTCTGCCTTCGCTCCTTGGGCCTCGAGCCCCGGTCTCCGGCCCCGAGGTCCCCGATCGTCGGCTGGGTCCGGGCTGTGGAGACGTGGGTCCTTCTGTGGCCCGAGCATCGCCCTCGCGCGGGACTGGGTGTCCGGTGGCGTCGGTGCGAGGAGCAGAGCGTCGCCGCCCTTTGCCCGCGTGGAGCGTGCATCGCTTGGAACTAGGAGCTCGAATCCCGCTCACATCGGTAATGATTTCCGCGGGGGGGGCGGGGGGGGGGTCTGGAAAGGTTCCTGATACCGGCGCTCCGATGAACCGACTCGGAATCTTTGTTGCAGAGATGCCCCTGGCAAGATTTTTCATTCACGATGCAGAGAAATGGAGTCCCCAGACCACCAAGCAAGGCCCTGGACACGGAGGTGCGAAGGGCCGTCCAGGAGAGTCACAGAGCCCTGGGGACTAACTGGGGGCACTAACCTTCCCCGGCATCCTCTGATTTCCCCCAGTGCACTCCCTGTAGTGCCATCCACACCAGGCCCTGCCCTCTGCACTCTGGGCTGCAGGTCCCTGCTCGGCAGTGTCACAGAAGCAGTGTCCCTTTGTCAGGGGACCTCAGAGCACCCTGGCTCCTCAGCACCATTTCCCCTCCTCGCTGGGGCCTCTGCCCAGGACCAGCCTCACTGCCTTTCCCACAGCCTCCTGACCACGGGCCGTGCCAAGGACGGGGCTGGTACCCAGGAGGCAGCAGGACTTGCCCTTTCAGGCTGAATTAGGACCAAGCGGGGAGGACCCCAGGCTCAGGGTCTCAGTCCACTCAGGCTGCTGCCACAGAACACCACGACTGGGCGGCTTATGAACACGGCAATTCCTTCCTCACGGTTCTGGCAGCCAGAAGTCCCAGATCAAGGCACTGGCTCGATGCCTGGCGAGGACCCCCTTCCTGGTTCACAGCGTCCTCTCACCCCTGTGTCCTCACATGGCGGAAGGGGCGGGAGCTCTCTCGAGCCTCTTATTTCACATGGGCACCAGTCCCATTGCGAGAGCCCCGCCGTCACCACCCAATCACCTCCCAGAGGCCCACCCCTTAACCTCTCAGTGCCATCACTTAGGGGGTTAGGAGTCAACACGACCATCTGGGGGGACACAGTTCAGTCCATAGTACTCAGGTGGGTGACAGGGATTTCAGAAGACGGTGACGTGCCACCTTGAATCTGTAATGCACCGATGGCCGTCACATGAGGGCTGCCTCTCCCCACAGAAACTCAGCAACACGGGCGTCAAGAAAAAGGAGTGCTGGGGCTGGCCTGGTGGCACAGTGGTTGAGTTCTCATGTTCTGCTTTGGCGGCCCCGGGTTCGCCGGTTTGGATCCCGGGTGCAGATCTACGCACCGTGTATCAGGCTGTGCTGTGGCAGGCATCCCATATGTAGAGTAGGGGAGGATGGGCATGGATGTTAGCTCAGGGCCCATCTTCCTCAGTAAAAAGAGGATTAGTGCAGATATTAGCTCAGGGCTAATCTTCCTCAAGAAATAAAATAAATAAATAAAATTTAAAAAAAGAATAGAAAAAACAGTGCTCCGATGTTGGGACCTTAGTCAATAGGGCCAAGGACACACATGCCACCAAAGAAAGGTTTTTCTTTACATAAAAGAGCACAGGTAGAACCACTGAGTCCAAATATATAATATTAAAAACACACCACACGAAACGAAAACTTTTGAGAAGGAATGTAAGCCCAGCAGAGTGACAGGAGGAGCAGTGACGGGGACACAGCTGCAAGGGGGCAGCCTCCTCTGTGGAGTGTACCACACTCCTGTGCCTGCCCTGGGCCAAGAAGGAGAAGCCCCTGCATCTGGGAGCCTCCGCCCCTGCCACTGGGCTCTCCGGAACCACGGGAATTAGGATAAAGGCCCCTGAGGATGTTCTCAGAGCAGACCGACCAGGGAGCTGGGCCCACAGCCTGGCCCACAGAGGACAGGGAGAAGGCAGAGCTGCTGGCTCCTGCATCTGCACCTTCCCCATCAGGGCCGCCGCCTCTGCGCCTGCACAGGCAGACAACATGTGGTTAAGAGCTGATTAGAGGGCTGACCTTGGCAGGCCTGGACCTCTGCCCCAAGTGCCTGGCCGGCTTTACTATCCTCGTTGTTGCTGCTGCTGTTGGCTCACAGCCGGGGATGGCTGCAGGGAGAGCGTGGAGCATGGCCACGCACATCTGCCGTGGACCAGCTGCAG